GAAATTCTTGTGAAGCCTTGCTTGTTGAAAGCAGCTGATACTATGCTTGGTGTTGAAAGCAAGAAAAAACGGAAATTCTGCTTTCTGACAGTTCCGTGAAATGTCACATCGATGAGCTGGCGAAAGAGCTTAAACTTCAAGTTGTGTTGACAGTGTTGGCTTCTCCTTTTTTTGCAATTCAGTGTGACGATACCACTGATGTAGCACAATGTTGTCAGTTGTTTGTCTGCGTTCAATTCCTTAACAGTGGAACTGTGAAAGAACTGCTTTTTTTGAAGGAATTGATGACCACATCAAAGGCTTCTATATTATGAAAAGCATTTCTGACTTTTTTGAAGAAAATAGAGTTTCATGGGGAAAAACTGGTTGATGTATGCACAGATGGTGCTCCAGCAATTCTTGACACTTGCTCTGAATTTGTGATGTTGGTGAAAGAAAAAAATCCAGCTGTAACCACAACTCACTGGGTCATACACAGACAAGCGTTGGCTACTAAAACCCTTCCAGATGACCTACGTGACTCATTGAATTTGGCAATCCAAGTTGTCAGTTTTGTGAAGAACAGTGCTTTAAATACGAGACTTTTTTATGCTCTTTGCACAGATTTGGGAGCGGATTATAAAACTCTTTTGTTTCACATGTAGGTATAATGTCTTTCCAAAGGTAACATGCTTTCGAGATTATTTGAACTGAAAGATTAAGTGTAAATTTTCCTCAAGCAACAGAAGAAAGGAGTTATATCATGCATTTATGGACCAAACGTTTCAACTTTCACTGACATACCTCATGGACATTTTTGAATCTTTGAATAACCTCAGTTTGAAGCTGCAAGGAAACAACACTACAAACATTATAGCGCACCATGATGCCATCAAAGCATTTACGGAGAAAATCCAGCTTTGGAAACATCAAACACAAGCTCAGATGCCTAACTTGACATTTTCATCACTCGCTGAAAATGAAGATTTCCAAGAAGTTTGTAAAGAGGATGTGAAGAACAAAATTGTGTTTCGTCTAGACTGCCTTGCTGACGAATTCATCTGCTATTTTCCAAACAACTTTTCTGGCAACCCCATTCATAAATTACGCAATCCTTTCAACGTTGATGTCGATTCATTGCCAGAAGTATTGCAAGAACAAGCACTCAAAATAAAATATGATTCAAGTGCGAAAGATAATTTTGAAAATGCAAGCTTGGAGGAATTTAGGATAAAATATTTCCCAATGTATTCGAAAGTTGGAGAAGAAGCACTACGTATTATTCTTTCATTTTCATCAACATACCTCTGTGAAAAAAGCTTTTCAAGTTTAGTCATATTAAAAACAAAACAAAGAAATCGACTGGATGTTGAAAACGATTTGCATTGCACACTTGCATCTTTCAAACCTAGGATTTCCCAACTCATTATCTGGTTACTGATACTTATATAGAATGATTCTACCTCAACCATCCATTTTCCTAACTGTGGAATATTAAACTATCCCTCCCCTATCTTCTATTTAGAGTTTCTCATATGACAGTGCCACAATGAATACTTATCTGTATCTGTGTAGAGATAATATGCTACAGCAAATTCTTTATATTCTGTGTGAATAGACCATTGTGACCCTAACTGACTGTGTGCCATATTAAGAGGGTAAAAGTTTGATGCCAAACTAATTAGAGAGAAGATCCAGTCTTCAGAAACTATGCAAATGCCATGACTGTTTCTTTTCAAGCATTAAGAAAAGTGATAAGCTATTTCTACAGCCTTAGAATTCTGTTGCAGTTGAAGGGAATAAAGTATTGTATATGTGATATGTGTTGGATTTAATAAAGTAAATGGCAATGTCTCAATCTCATTTGAAAAATTAATTCAAATTAACTTGGGTATAAATGTTTTCAAATGAACTGAAAACTAGCTGAAAGAATAAATAGATAACAGAATTTGATTGTTTCAGATTTAGGTTCTGTAATAAAGTGGTACAGTGTGTCTTCTACTCATGTCTTGTTTTTATCCCCTTCCTCCCATGCTAGGAATAGACACTGGTGCTCACTGAAAACTTGTTAGACTAAAATAATCAATAGCTCCGAATGGAGGAATAGTTAATGGTCTCTTTGCTCATCATAATGTTAGCTAATTTAAATATTTCAAAATGAAAGGATTACAAAAAGACCAGAATTTCATCTAATATTTATGGTAGAAGTGCATGAGGAGAATCCATTACTGCGTAGTAAACTGCAGAAACATTAATACAAGCTATGCTCAGATGAGTAAGAAGCATGTTAAAACCATTTTGCAATGCACATGGGTGTTTGTAGAAGGACAGGTGAGGCCAACAGAGGGAAAAGAGGGAAAGCTTTTATGGAAATTATTTTAGGAATAACTAACCCAGGAAAATACTGGAAATATATTTGTAAGACCTAAGATTATATTTAAGCATTGTTTTTTCCAGTTTAATTTTATATGATGCTTCAGCTACTTTTTAGTGAATTCTGTCACTGCTGCTATGTGTTATCTTCACTATTTGAAATGAACGTTTCTGTAGTTTTTGTGCCAGTCAATGATTTAATTATTCACAATAGCAAAATGCACTACTTTGTTCTGAATTACATATTAGCCAAGGTTCCCTCTAAGCTGCACAGTAGCATGACCTCACAGCTGCTTAATAAGCCCCACCCAGGGGCTTTGGGCTGCCTTGCAAGGAGCTGCCTGGCCTGGGGAGGGGCACTTCTCCCTCAGCTCTGCAGCAGCTCCCTGCTTGAGGACAGAGCAGCAAGTTGCTCAGAAAGATGAGATGTTTGAGAACACTCCCTCCCTGTCCCCCCGCCTCAGAGCACTTTGCCAGTTTGCCCCTCATAAGCCAGTGGGAGCTAATGATGTAGCCTTTTGATTGGGAAAGGCAGAGGTGGCAATCCTCCTCCAAAAACTTTCCATAATATTCCTGATTTTTCCGTCTAATTGCAGAATTATGAAATCAAGCTTAATTCTACGAAGTTTGCAATTACATTTAAAAACTGGGAAGATAATGTTGTGTGTCATTCACCACTTGAGTGTGATACAGTGCCATGGCTATGGGAGAATGTTCTTGACCACTGCTATTCAAGGGCACCCACAGCCTCGCTGTAACATGGTGCATATCATTTTGTCAGCCAGGCAGGGGGAGACGTTGCATTAGTGAGTGTGTCTGACAAAGTGAGCTCATCCCAATCCAATGTACCTTTGTAGGCTATGAACGCATGCCTGCTGCCAGCACCATCACTGCAGAGAGCAGAGTGCTGGACTGACGGCACTAGTTAAGGCAACGTGCTGGTCCCTTGCACCTTTGCCTCCAGGGTAGCCACTAGTACTGGCTCAGTCCAGGCCATACAAATGCCTCTAGATCTGAGACACGGTCAGCAGCCGCCTGTACCGCAAGTAAGTATCACTTGCTCATGCCAGTGCCATCCACACATGGTATTTGTGCCTTGTGTCCCCAAGCTTAGTAGCTGCCCCATTTCCCTCCTCACCACCAAAACCACCTACAGCCTCTTCTTGACTCATCCCCTCACCAAGCAGCCTCTTTCATCTCCATCCACCCCCCTCCCTCCTTTTAATAGGTCCCCCAAACTCACCTAATGCCTCTTTCAGCCCAACTAGCTATTCCACTCCAGCACCAAGGCAATCTGAATTGGGGAGAGAGGGGCCTACCAAAATAGTAAATCCATCTAGACCAGAGTTCTTCAAACTTTACTGTACTGTGACCCCCTGCGAACAATAAACATTTCTATACAACCTCATAAAGGGAGACCAAATCCTGAGCCTTCCTAAGCCCTGCCACCTCAGGGTGGAGGTAAAGCTCAAAGACTTCAGCCTCAGGTGGGAACCTGTACCCAAGCCCCACTATCCAGTACTGAAGCCCTGGAGTTTTGGCCCCAGGTGGTATGACTCAGGCTTAAGCTTTGGCCCCAGTTCCCAGCAAGCCTAACAAATTTGTGGTCCTGACCCATTTTGGGGTCCTGACTCACTGTTTCAGGGTAGCTGATTTAGTCTAGATTTCCCTTTTGTTTGAGACTGTCTTGTAAGACAGTATCAAAAGCTTTAGCAAACTCAAGTTTTACCTCATTTACTGCTTCCCCAGATTCACGAGGCATGCTGCCCTGTCAAAGAAACTTACAGAGTTAGTATAATGTAATATGTTCTTGACAAATCAATGTTGACTGTTAATTATCACCTTACTATATTCTAGATATAATTGCTCCCTTTTTTTAATAAACATCCCTGTAAGTGTCAGAGCAAGGTTTTTCACCAGAGCCATGGTTTGATGACCTTTGGAAGACATTTTAATGTATTAAAATCTGCAAATTATCAAAATTTTTAGAAATTATGTTAATAGATTTTGACCTGTTCTTGTTCAAATTAGAATATTATGTGTGCCCCTTTTACATTTTGTATTGGAATTACTGGAATGACCTCATTTGGAATGGAGTCATGAAAGAATAATTCCTTCTTAGATTAGTAAATACTTCAAAAGTTTTATTTCTCTATAGTTCATATTATGTTAAATATTGGAATGTGTTTTGAAATGTATATGCTGGGAAGATGTAATATTACCTGTTTAAATGGTAATAATTGAGAAAATGGTGTTTTATGCATAGATGGTTCTTCATCATTCCTCTATGATGATTTAAAATTGATTAATGTGGGGAAATTTAAAGACTTCAGAATGGACTTTTGGAGAGGGTTAAGTTCCACAGTCTCTATTTCAAGGTAGCCAAATATGTAACCAGGTAACATAATCAATAACACAGAAATAATGCAATTCAGAGACACTGAATCTCTGGTTGTGTTCCAATAGATGTAATTCCCAGCTGCTTATGCTGCCTCCGAGTTAGAAGAGTTTGCAAAGTTCCCATTAAAGTTATTAACAAATATGACCTTTGTTTACTTGTGATGTGGCTACCGGTGATAATTTCTTTAACATTTGGATTAAAATGACTAAATATTAATTAAAGCAGAATCATTTTGTTTGAATTACAGGGAGAAACTAGTTTCTTCAGATGATCTATTGGAGTGGTTGAGACCTTTCTGTGATAATGACTCCTTGCCAGTGAAACCCCGCATTCAGGTCCTGCAGATTATGGAGCAAGCATTTCATCTCAGTGATGAGGATAGCCGGCTACTTGTTTTCTTCAGAACTCAAGCTGTTCTCAAAGCATGTTGGCCTGAGAAAAAGGTATAATTATTTACCCTTACATTAAGTGATAGCTATTACTGTGAGTTTGTGACAAGTGCTATGCAATGATAAATAGCCTCGTAAAAAAAAGTAGGTTTATTTAACAAACAGGAATAAAGCAGTAGAGAGAACGATTTTCAAATAACAAATATCCTGTTTATATTTTTACTCATTTAGTTATACTTTTCTCTACAAGCTAAGTTAGACAGGTTTCAGTCTTGAATTACAGCAGAACTATTCAACACCGGGGCGGCCCGTGGCTATAGGTGGACTCGGCCGCTGTCTAGGGCACCACCGCCCGGGGCGCCCGCCGATGACAACAGCCCATTGACGGACCTGCAGGTGGGGGTGCCCATCACGCATTCCGCCTGGGGCACCAGCTGCCGCAGCCAGCCTCAAACAACTCCTGCTTAACACGTGGCCCACAGCCCGTTTGTTTGCGGCCCGTGGTGTGGTTTGGGTTTACGTAGGGCTCAACACACAGCCCGCAAGTGGAAGCCAAAACACAAAAATAGTCAATATAGTGGTCTTCTGTTGACATGCTATTTAGTAGTTAAATTCCTGAACTGTCATTGCTCATTAAAAGTGCTGTTATATGGGTGGAAATCAGGTAAATATTGCATTTCATTAATGTCAGCAGAACTGACTTAAATGGGGCCTGCATGTTGTGTAGTCTTGCCTTAATCTTTGTACTCATGCCTGTCTCAGTGTGAAAGAAGCTATTTACATATATTTGCATATATATTTGTATGTGTATGCAACCGCACTTAAGTTGCGGCCCTCGGCATGTGCTGTAAGAATCATTGTGGCCCCTGGAGCTTCCCAAGTTAAATAGCCCTGAGTTACAGGAACAGAGCAGGTTGTAAAAGAGGCTGTGTGAAATGACATGTCCTCAGTTCCCTTTTAGGGATGTTAAATATTGTTTATTTTAGTAATTGTGTAGCTGCAACAATTTTAAATTTTTAGCAGTTACACAGTTACTAAAATGCTTCCCTCCTCCAGCAGGGGCAGGGCCAGCAGCCAGTGTGCTCCCGGCCCCATTCCCAGGGAGCCGCCTGCCACTCTGCGCAGTACGGGATGGCAGGCCAGAGCCAGCCTACAAGGGGAGCCAGTTTAAAAATTGGCCAGCCTGCCAATTGAGCATGAAATGCGTAGCACACAGAGAGAGGGGGTGTTGCAGTTAACCAGAACCATTAATTGATAAACGACCAACCAGAAGAGGTGTCTCCTTGCACTGGATGTTTGGAAAGCTCTGGGTTTCTACTTAAAAAGGACAAGGCCCTTCCGCAGGTCCACTCAGCTCTTCACATAAGAACATAAGAACGGCCATACTGGGTCAGACCAAAGGTCCATCTAGCCTAGTAGCCTGTCTGCTGATAGTGGCCAGCATCAGGTGCCCCAGAGAGGGTGGACCGAAGACAATGATCAAGCGATTTGTCTCTTGCCATCCTTCTCCAGCCTCTGACAAACAGAGGCAAGGGACACCATTTCTATCCCCTGGCTAATAGCCTTTTATGGACCTAACCTTCATGAAATTATCTAACTTCTCTTTAAACTCTGTTATAGTCCTAGCCTTCACAGCCTCCTCTGGCAAAGAGTTCCACAGGTTGACTTTGTAGTCTACGTGTAGCAGGGGTGGGATTCCCCGATACCCTCCCAGAGGTTCTCAGTGGATCACCTCTGGTGTCCTTACATGCTACGAGTTGGCAGGAGCCCAGCTACCAGCATTGATCAGGGCCCACTCTTCCAGAGCTCAAGCTTCATCGCACACCTATCTCACTCATGTTTCAGTCGAGGATATCTGTCGAGCAGTGATGTATTCATTAGTGCACTTTCACATCACACTATGCCATCATGCAGCAAGCTAGTGCAGTCTTCATGTCCTTAACTTCTACCCACCTCTGCCGATGCTGCTTACAGTCACCTATGTTGAATTGACATGAGCAAGCACTCGAAGAAAAGACAGTTTCCTGTTCCTTAATTGGTGTACTTCGAGATGTGTTGCTCCTGTGCATTCAACTTCCCACTGCCCTCCCTCTGTCAGAGTTCCAGCAAGAAGGACCTGAGAAGGAAGGGACCGAGCAGGGCCCTAGCTTGACACATCCACACCACTCCAGGGGGCGCTGGGACCCTGGCATGTACAGGTTTTTACAGGTACACATTTAGAAGAACACCAGTTACAGAACAGGTAACTGTCTTTTTTTCCCCACCCTCGTGAGATCTATCAGATGAATTCTAACCAATCCAAATTAATGAAGCAAGAAGTTTGGTCAGTTTGAAGGTCTTTTTAATTTCCATTATTTGTCCTACATTTCCCTTTCTCCCATGTAAAATCCCAACTTTCCGCTCTTAAGTCAGTCCCAGTTGCATTGTCCAGTGAGCAGACTAGAGGGATTCATGGCCACTATAAAAGCAGCAAAATCCTCTTATTACTACCTACCTAAGATGTTCTTGAAAACAGTGCAGCATGCAGTCTGTATTCCTGCAAAAGTGATCTCTAAAATGCTTCCATTCCCATCTGTCTCGTGTTTTGCCTTGAAGCTTGTCATTCTAGCCACTTATGGATAGACTAGAGTAGCTCCTAGAGAATGTACGCTAATTACATCTTGATATGCTAGACTACAACCATATGTAAGGTATGTCTTTATTTCTCTGACACTTTTCAATACCTGCTATGTGGTACCGATCTGTTCTAGTTTTTAGCCCATGAATAAAGTTTAGTTGGTTATCCATATTAAAAAATAGACTTTAAACTAGCTCATTTTACAAGTGACTATCTGTATTTGAAGTGCTTATTACTAAAGCATTTTTCTTGGAGACTCATGTTTTTAATCTGCAAGGTTTAGAGGGGAAATATTCTTAACATGAAACTTCCTCGTTTTTATATCTCAACTCTCTTTGGACATTCTCTTGTTTTGAAAGCCGTAAGCATAATTTACTAAAAGACAGAATCATTCAGCAGCAAAGAACTGCTATTCACTCATTTTATAACTCTCACTTTTCCATTGTCACATTCTTTGAATTATCAAGCCCACAAAGAAGCAGCATTGAACGTTTTCACCTAGTTGCTAGAAAATTTTAATTTATAAAAAAAAAATGCTGATAATGTAAAACAAATAGCAGTATTTTTTTCTGACCCAGTTAGTTGATGATGGGTGTTTTTTCCTTAACTGCTTTGGATTATCACTCAACTACTTAAAGTAGACCTACCACTGCATTTGCGTTTAATACTTCAACCGTTCTTTAAATACGTGGATGTTTTTCCCTGTTAGTACTAAGTTTCCTTGGCACCATTTCTCTTTTTACCTGTAATTCTAATAGCGTACTTTCTAGCCTCAAAGCATTACAATTCTCCTATGTTCACCAACAGGTCCTTAAAAATACATGACAAATCACAAATAAATAATCCCCGGCTGTCATGTCCATAGAAGAAAAACACACAAGAAATTTTATTTGACAGATGCCTTCACAATTTTGATTTGGTGTTAGGAGAATTAGTAGATTTGTCCTATCTGCCTAATAATTGTGATTGTAAATAGCTTCAAAGTTCAACTAAACAGTATTCATATTTTCATGATGTTTTAGGGGGGAATCTAGTATAATTCCAAACAGTCTCTAAAGGAAACGGTATATCTTCAAGTAACAATAAGTTTTGTTGCTTGAGCTCGAATAATAATAGTGGTCCCTCCTCTTCAAATGATCTTAAAGAGATTTAGAAATGTAACAAGCTGATATACTTGCTGTGTCCAGATTCAGTCTGAAATAATGGTGGTGGTGTGGCAGGAAACATTCACTAAAGTAAACCATGGCACAAGGCGTTAAATGACTGAATCTGCTATGGCAATGAAGGATGTTGTGGTGTGAAGAAACCAAAACTTTCCCACTAATGGGCAGATTGTAAGAGGACTGCACTTCAGGGGGTAGAAGTGCGGTGAGGCCATAGTGGCACATTAGAGCCACTGCCAGAAATTGTAGCTTTCATCTCCCGGGGAGAAGGCATGGGAGGCTGTGCCTTATGGCTAGAGCCCTTCACAGATACAATAATATAGATCTGTATCAAGTCCGCATCCAGCAGTATCAACCCACAATTCACTAGCTGTTTTTTACAGTAGCTACATCGACACCCACAGCAGCAAACTGTTTCACAAGTGGGATGTGAGTAGGGGTAGGGTCTTGCAGGGAAGAGGCAGCATGAGGATGGAGTCTTGGGGGTAAGGGATAGCATAGGGTGTTGAGGAGAAGGGGTGGCACAGGGAGGTGCTGAGGGAAGTGGTAGTGCATCATGTGCTTCTCCCTGGGGTTGGCAAGTGATAGCACATGCAGTAGCAGTGCATGTTGCATCATAGAATTGAAAGGAACCTCGAGAACTCATCGAATCCAATCCCCTGCCCTCATGGCAGGACCAAGCACTGTCTAGATCATCCCTGACAGGTGTTTGTCTAACCTGCTCTTAAATATCTCCAGTGATAGAGATTCCACAACCATCCTAGGCAATTTATTTCAGTGTTTAACCACCCTGACAGATAAGAAGTTTTTCCTAATGTCCAACCTAAACGTCCCTTGCTGCAGTTTAAGTCCATTGCTTCTTGTCCTGTCCTCAGAGGCCAAGGAGAGCAATTTTTTCTCCCTCTTCCTTGCAGCATCCTTTTAGATACTTGAAATCTATCATGTCCCCTCTCAGTCTTCTCTTTTCTAAACTAAACAAGCCCAATTCTTTCTGTCTTCCCTCATAGCTCATGTTTTCTCTGGCCTTTTAATCATTTTTGTTGTTCTTCTTCGGCTGTTCTCCAATTTATCCACATCTTTCTTGAAATGCAATGCCCAAAACTGGACACAATACTCTAATTGTAGTGGGATACCCATCTGCTATAATTCCTGAGGCCTGGGACAGGCCCTTTTGGGGATACTGGTGCTGCCCAAAGGACCTGAACTGGTGGACAGGAAGCTGCATGGTGAAAAGGTGCTAGACAGCCCCAACTGTGACCCGCTGCCCAGTCCCA